CAGTTCGTTCGTATATTATTTCTCTGAATCAACGCATGTCTGTTATGTCAAACAGACGACGGTATACATTCATTGACCGTATATAAGTTGTGTTTATGATATGAAAGCATTATTTTCCAACTCAAATAACTAAATTCGTTTGACTGCATTGCTTAAATGTTTACGATTAATTAAACGGCTACTGGAAGTTTCTAAGTGAACAGCAGGAAACCAGTTTCCATGACATAAGTACACATTCTCGATTATCAAAAATAAAGTTTGAAAAGAAACCGATCACTGGTAGCATAGTGGTTGTTGCACCTACCCTGGGTGAGTTTACACAGACTCAATGGGAAGGCCAATTCCACTGTCCAAGACTCATTCACTAACGAATTCTACTCTGGGGGAACCTTGGTGAAGGTCCGCAGATGCTTGTGTTCGACAGAGCCTGGTTGACGCCAGGGTAGCGCATTAAAATTGTCATTTGATAGAGAGATGGCCGCACAGCCATGTCATGTATTCCCAAACATGAATATGACTTATGTGGCAATAATGCACTGTGTCAGCACCTAGCACTTGTAATTTGCACACAAAAAAAAAATAAAAATGAAAAGTTTATCAGTGTGAGCTTTCCAGCCCAATACCCTTTCCCCGAGAAGGATGCTATAAGCATAAGATGAAACGCATAGAAAACTTTGAAAATTGTGTTTTTCCTTGTGAAGTGCCATGCTTTATTTTTTTTATTTCCCGTGATCTTTGATCATGACCCCTTTCCCCCATCTCAAATCACCAGATGTTAAAGCTTTTCATGGGCTGAGTACGTAAATGTACCATTAGCCTTGTGTTCCAGAATCTTGAAGTTCGATCCATATATTTCGTGTTTATCTGTGTCACAGAGTCAGGGTTAAAATCGTTTATTGATATTCGACATATTAAGTTAGCGTAAAATATCACCTTACATAATTTTAACGAGCAAATATTGAAACATCATTTCTTGAAATATAATTAGTATTTGTCAGTATTCCCAAATAATTTGAGATAACCACAAGTAGCAATCTAGTAATAACTACATATTACACTTTTTGACTATTTAAGTTTTGATCATGCTAGTCCCAAACAGTCCGAGAGCTGGTACGTGTTACACAAAATCCGGTTCAGTGTTTAATTATATATTAGTCGCTGAACATTTGCGTTGTTTCAGACCCGGATGTTATAGGATAGGTTCTATGCTTCGTCTGTCGGAGCACACGTCAGCGTCTGCGTAGCGCCTGGCCAATACACGAACACTGCCATTGACGGATGAACGAAGCCTCGGATCGATCTGGGTTACAGAAGTTACAGATAGGTGCTTCGATGAGCACTTCGTGCTTAGGCCTAATGTGAGAGCTTTAAAATTTGACATCCTCGAAGAACTGCAGAAAGCTTAAGACTAATAATATATAATAAAAATTGCTTGTCAGAGGAAAGCAGAAATTGCATTTAAAAACAAAAAACAAATTTCCACCAAGATTGCAGAAAAAATGTACATACAGCAAATGCGTTAAGCACGGCTATATTTTACATACAGTTAATGTTTCACGCGCCAAACAGGGCTATATTTTACCTACTACTAATGCGCCATGCACCAAGCACGGCTATATTTTACATACAGCTAATGTGGCACGCGCCAAACAGGGCTATATTTTTCATACACCTAATGTGGCACGCGCCAAATAGGGCTATATTTTACATACAACTATTAATGTTGCACGCGCCAAACAGGGCTATATTTTACCCACTACTAATGCGCCATGCACCAAGCACGGATATATATTTACATACAGCTAATGTGGCACGCGCAAAACAGGGCTATATTTTACATACAGCTAATGTGGCACGCGCCAAACAGGGCTATATTTTACATACAGCTAATGTGGCACGCGCCAAACAGGGCTATATGTTACCTACTACTAATGCGCCATGTACCAAGCATGGCTATATTTTTCATACAGCTAATTTGGCACGCGCCAAACAGGGCTATATTTTACATACAGCTAATGTGGCACGCGTCAAACAGGGCTATATGTTACCTACTACTAATGCGCCATGTACCAAGCACGGCTATATTTTACATATAGCAAATGTGGCACGCGCCAAAAAGGGCTATATTTTACCTACTACTAATGCGCCATGTACCAAGCAAGGCTATATTTTACATACACCTAATTAGGCACGCGCCAAACAGGGCTATATTTTACATGCAGCTAATGTACCAAGCATGGCTATATTTTACATACAGCTAATATGGAACGCGCCAAACAAGGGCTATATTTTACCTACTACTAATGCGCCATGTACCAAGCAAGGCTATATTTTACATACACCTAATTTTTCACGCGCCAAACAGAGCTATATTTTACCTACTACTAATGCGCCATGTACCAATCATGGTTATATTTTACATACAGCTAATGTGGCACGCGCCAAACAGGGCTATATTTTACCTACTACTAATGCGCCATGTACCAAGCATGGCTATATTTTACATACAGCTAATGTGGCACGCGCCAAACAGAGCTATATTTTTCATACAGCTAATGTGGCACGCGCCAAATAGGGCTATATTTTACATACAGCTAATAATGTTGCA